GTACAAGCCTTTCCTGAAGCTTTTGATGGAAAAGTACTACCTTATCTGCAACGCCACGCCGATCGGTGGGTTTGATGACACTTCGGGTGATCCTGAGAAAGAAGAGATCTACTTCTTACCATCTCTCCTGGCCACAAAGCCTGAAGACAGCACCTTGTATCCTGGACACATGACGAGATACCAGCATCCTCTGTATGTCGTATTCGACAATATGTTCCTCCCAAGTGGCATGTTCTATCGTCTACAAGCCATTTGTGTGCGCAGGTTCGGTCTTCAAGATTCCCAAGTGTTCACCGGCTGCGGCCGCTTTCCTACCGACGATGAAAAGCAACAGTTTGTGGTAAACAAAGTAAAGCACTACCTGAAGGTAGAGCTTCTGTCGGATGAAGTAGAAGACCAGACAGTATTCACACAGGGCCTTCCTGTTAGAAAGTTCCTCAGCAGTTGTCTCTTTGAGATCAAGGAGAAGTGGATACCGTCCATCCAGTATGACTGGTGCTTTGGGGATGAGTCAGAAAAAGAAACAGGAACACCAGTATTCTACCCACTGTCTGACATCGAACAAGAAACGGCAACGGGATCCAGTCGGTGAGTCCAGTTATATTTTCAATTTTTCAGTGAATCAAACCATTTCATTTGATAAGCACAGCATTCTTCCTGCACGTCTTTTTATGGAAACAAACACGGTGTTCACATGTCTTGTATGTCCCTAACATTGCACTGTAATTAAGCCATGTGTGACTGATAGTTTTTATCTCAGTTTTCCAGAAGACTTCATCAATGTCTGGATACGTGGCAGAAGTGATACGACAACGTTCTGTGCAGGTAAAAACATTCAGATGTCTGATTTTGTGTAGCTCATCTTCTTGAAATAGTGTTTTAAATCGTTACTGATGAAAACTTGTTGTACATGTAGAAAACTCAGGTGGTTCCGGACCCGTGATGATAGAGCCCACGCTGAACCCAGACGCAGTCCGCACGATTGGCCCTGTCCTGGACTGTATGGAGACCTGCAGAGGGCTAAGTCTGGCGCAGTGCGATCGGATCAAACACGAGCTCACATCCGTCAGCAGGTTCAAAGAGTTGATTGCCACCGTCAACAGGTCCGGAGACATGTGCCGTCGTTTGCTGGGAGCGTCCGTGGAAGTTTGTCTGCCTGAGAGAGCACCCATGTTTCCCAGGGAAGAGAGAGGTATGTCTTCCCTGGCTGTAGTTAGAAGGCTCTGAATTATCTTCCTCCTTCCGTGATGCTTTGTCCTCTTTAACAGCTTGTTTGTCTGACACTTTGTTCCTACATTAGAATATCAATGTTCACATTTATTCACAGGGAACGAAATTGTTCTCCTGCACACCGAAGACTACAATGACAAGCTCGTGCAGCCACTGTTGAAACAGGCAGTCCAATCGTCCAGCAGGTACGGTGTAATAGTGTCTGAAGACGTCATCGAACCAGGAGAAACCATCACAGACAAACTCTTGCACCATCTTCTCCAACCGAACGTCAGGATGGTCGTACCGATCATCACACCTCAGACTCTCCACAGCAGACACTGGTCCACGCTCGGGTACGAATTCTGCGTAGAGAACAAGAACCTGATCTTCCCGGTCTTCGTCTACCCTGAAGGAACCAGAGAACGTTTGCTAGAGGTACTCGGCAGGCGCTGTGCGGGGATGTTGGTTATGGCATCAACAGACGTACCAATGGCTGAAGAAAAACTGTCCAGTACCAAAATCAGTCTCACTGCTGCACAAATCCTGAGGAAGGTGCGTTTATTTTGGTAGTCATTATCATTGTGCATGATACTATTCTTGAAAGTCTACTTTGTTTTCAGACAGAATGACTAACACAGTATTGTTTCTACAGGCGTCGTCTTCTGTTGTGCTGTACACACGCCAGATCACAGCTGCAGGCTGCACGGTTGTGGAGGATGGTGTCACTATCGTCTTTCCGAAAGGATGTGTCAAGAAGAAAAGGTTCATGTCTTTGGAGGTAAGATAGTCTTTGTTTCCGTCTGAATTGTGATACTATTTGCTGTAGTGTATGCAGGCCTGTGTATTGTGTCTAATAGTTAGACCGACCTCGGAATCACTCCTAGCGACAGCTTGGTCTTCTTGACGAAGTAGAGGAAACCAAAGCTTAAGTAATAGCACTTTTTTGCTTCCTTGACATGTCTCGATTATCGGAGGAGAAGACGAAATGGCAAGCCATCAATGACGATCATATTATAGTAAATCTCGTGACACAATGTTTTCTATGTAATGATAAATCCTAATGTAACCCTCATTATCATTAGTATCTAGATCTACCTTATGGCTCTACTTCATTAATATTTTTTTTTAATTTGATAGGTTGATATGCTGCCCATTGATGGGACCATGGCAAACAGTTTCTCGGCTGTGACACCGGTAATGACCGTGCACCTAGACACCGAGGAAGACTTCCTAAAGCCCGTCACTGTCACCCTGCCCTGGACATGGAAAAGCACCTGTGACCTGGGCAGAACCATCCTGATGAAAAGGTCCACTGGTGACAATGATGAGTGGACGGCATTAAGCACCGATGCTCGAGAAACCAAGGACACGACCACCTTCACAATGTGTCACTTTTGCAGGTAACACACTTATCTCGATAAAAAATCAATTAAAATGTTTGTTTAATCGAACAGGAGTAAATTTTGAAAACTAAGATGAGAAGTAATGATTTGTCAAGCAGTATGTTGAATCTTTTTTCGTAAACTCAACTGTTTCAGCGTTGTCGGTGCCAAGAAAAAAGACAACTCTGAAGAAGCCTCCACCTCTGCTGATACAAGTACAGAAAAGCAGGACGAGGCGGCCAATCAAGAGGCAACCGAAGCTATAGAAGTCCTTGTAAAAAGGTACAGTGACGACAAAGTGCATCTCATTATCAGTCCCAATGAAGCAACGACAGACGACAAGCGCATTCACCTGCTGTGTATCGAGAAGGGCAAAAAAAGTCACGGAGTATTTCAGAGCAGATAACTTTAAGACACCACCGCCGTTCCGACAAGAGGTTACCATGGACAAGAAGGAGAGAATCCGTGCGCGGTTTGGTGAGGAAGAGGACGTCGTTGGAGATCCACGTGACATTCCGTCGGAGCCAACCGGTATTCAGTTCGTCTTCCCGCCGGCGAACTGTAACCGAATCTCAGTCAGACTGAAGCTGCGAGATCCGCAGATAGGGAAGGGGAAGTTTGAAGGAGCAGTCCATTTCACACTACTGTCACAAGCAGGTGAACCAGTGAATGACCCAATCCGTGGGATACGTTCAGCTCATGTCTACCTGCACTCTCTGCAAGGTAGGTGCTGTTTTGATGTATGTACTAGCAAGCGTATAAGGTACTAGTTGAAAAAAAGGAAGACAAGTCACAAAATTGATCTTGAAACAAAATAGTCAGTTATATGAGCAGAGCGTCCCAAATACAACCAAAGAAAGGGACTTGTAGTTAAATAACCTTTTTCCATTTTAAGGTAGATCATTGGCCTCTTGTTTTCCTGTACTGGTTATTTGTGTATGATAATGAAAAGTATGATACAGAGAAAAAACAAAGTTGAACTGCTTTGTGCATGAATTGTCCTTTATTTAAGCTGTAAACATTTTTCTTATCGTATGCCCATTGCAGATGAGGGGAAGATAAGTCAGGTTCAGCAGAAGAAAGGCCATGTCACTGTGACCAAGGCGTCCAAGATACAACATAAGAAAGGTAAGATATAACATGATAATTTTGTACCATATTCTAAATGCTTTTTCACCTTTGCCTGAGAATTATCATTCCATAGGACGGTAGGTTAGACAAGAAAACTAAATCATATGTATAACATTACATGGCGTATATTGCTGAACAATCTTATATTGATTACAGGTGGAAAGAGGAAAGCCAAAACGCGGCATGTTGGCGAGTCCAGCGAAAGCGGCGCCCGGGTAAAGCGACTGAAGATAGGTATGGACGAAATCATACATAATATAAGAATAAACATGCGGAGAGAATGTTTTGTCCGGAAATATTTTTTTCAAGAATTATCCATTCAATAATTGCATTCATACGATTGGGTAACCCAACTAGGTTTTCAACTAATGAGAGAAACCTTTGAAGCAATAGTGATCTTTGATCAACAGGACATTCAAGCAAGTATCGTTTCATGGCGCCTGCATTTTACCCGTCATAACTCGACATTGCATCCATTGTTTTTGAATTGCAGAGGCCATGTCTGTTCTGATGGTCAACGATACGTACGGCACGTCCCATGGAGGTAACTCTACCAAGAACCGTCAGGTGGCGAAGTTTCTGAAACTCAATGGTGCTACAGTTCATGCTACGGCTTTGCAAGCATCTGAAGATGACAAGAGGTGTGCCAAAGAGGATGGTGTCTTTCTGCATCTGCCTGTCAAAAATCCCAGGGACAAGAGGACGCCATGTTTGGAATGGTTAACCTTTGAGCACAACAGTCATTACCTAGACATACCACAGGATCTGAAGTGCATTGTGGGCCATGTAGATGTCACAAGTGGAGCTGCAAAGAGCATACAAGAGAGCCGCTGTCAAAACGCAAAATTGGTCCTTTTCAACCACGACATGCCAGAAGACACGGAGTACTACAAGGGAACTAAGAAGGCGATGGCCGCGGGGACGAGGATGGAAGACATCCTTGAGGATGCCAAAAATGCTGATGCCGTCTTCTCTTTGGGAAGAAGAATCTACAATTACTTCGAGACGAAGTACAGGTCACTTGGAGATAGCAAACCAAGACATCACTTCTTGTTTCTTCCAAGACCATCCCCAGTGTTTGAAGCCATCTCTGTTAGACCAGGAGGAGGAGAGAAAGTCGTGCTGTCTGTCGGGAGAGTGACCGAAGTGGACAAGCTGAAAGGCCATGACCTGGTAGCACGGGCCATGGGGGAGGTTACGAGAGGAAGATCACAAACGTCAGATTGTGTGTTCGCGGGATAGATGAAGATGACTGGGAAGCGAGCAAGAGAATCCTGGAGGAGAACCTGCACAGTGGTAAGATCAAACCCACGCTGCTGCCATGTGGAACCCAGGAGGACATCGCTCAGGACATGCAGCAGGCCCACCTGGTCCTGATGCCGTCCCGTGCCGAGCCGTTCGGACTGATCGGTCTGGAGGCCATCGCAGCAGGCATCCCTGTACTCATCTCTGACAAGTCGGGGTTGGCAGACATGATCAAGGACTTGATCAAGGAGAAGAAATGCCCTGCAGAAATGAGGCACAGGATCGTGGAAACCAGCGTGAAGGAGTGCGACCTGGGTGAAGATGCAAGAGAGTGGGCAAAGAGGATTGCAGACACCTTGGAATACTCTGAGGCAGAATTCGACAAAGCAGCAGAGTACAAGAAGAGGCTGTTGGAGTCCAAGTACTGGGAAGAGTCGCACCAAAACCTGCTGCGGGTTTGTGGCTTGAATGACTGACTCTAGACGCGTCCACTCTCCCACGTGTCAGATTCTCTAATTGCTGAATTTGATCAACAGACTTTTAATGCAATCAGTACGGTTCAAAAGCAAAGTAGTGACTGACAGTGGCATCATCTATTATTTCCCATGTACAATTTCAAAGATGCACTAATTTACAATGGCACTGTCTATTGCCTCCTTATAGGCCTTATCTATCATGTACGCTGCAATTATTTAGGACGACGTAGCCAGTTGGTTGTGGATTACGGTACATGTAGTATGATATCAATAGGAACTTGAAATGACCAAAAAGGCGTAATTTTCAATTTCGTGTAAATTTAATTCTGTATATAAACCTGTATTTGATGGAAAGTCATTTAATGTACATATAAGCATGTCAAGTTATTATGAATGAAGATATTTACTGTACTTTGAAAGAAAATTTTAAAGATGAGAAAGAATCTAATGTACACATTTTTAATTACTATTAGTACTGATTTGTATCCTAGATATTGTGATTGATTAAGTTTAGCATGTGTTGATGTAATAGTAAGAGTGTTTTTTTCTGTTTGCCTGCTGGTATTTTGAAAATTGAAGGGTTATCCTTATCCTTATCTGTTGGTTGAAAATTTGTATCAGTTATCGAAGTCCTTTCCAATGTAATTTGCAAAGAAGTTGTTTGCAAATGACTTATGACTTTAGTAAAACTTTGTTGAAAATTTAGCCATAGATAATTAGTGTCCCAAGAATTCCCAATGTAATTTCATACGGCTTTCTGTTGTTTTACAAGCTTGAGAAAATAATGGTTTTACAATTGATATTGGATATGTTGTCCTTATTTCCTTTTATATATCTTAGCTCCACACAAGTAAAGTATCGACTATATATATTGCCGAGAACTTTTCTTCATCAATATCTTCCCTCTCTTTTACTTATTCACATTCACAATAATGTCACTTTGTAAAGAAGACAAAAACACTACCTTATATTGGAACTCTTGCACAACCAAAATAGTTCTCGCTTTCACCGTGTAGGTGTTGAAACAAAATTGCAACCTGCCTGGCAAAATATGGTCATGTTCTTGACTTGATTCTGGTTGAAACGAAAATTTACAATCAGGATGTTCTCCGATGTAGCGTTCCCTTGAATCCCTTCTCGCGTATCATATTTGACTATCAAAAAAGATCTACCTGGTCTGTGAGACGCCAGATAATCATCAAAACATTTAAGGATGTGCCGTGAAAATCAAGAGGCAGACCGCTTATAAAAGCCACAGATGGGAAGGGCAAGGCCACACTGGTCGCTGCACCCGGATTCAGCTTTCAGCTTGTCTTTAGCTTATCCTTAACATTTTACAAAACAAAGCAATATTTGGAATTTTCCACATTGTACAAGTAGCTTCAGCAACTCCAATGTTACTTCTAGTTCTACTAGTTTACTTCAGGCCGAAATGATGTGTTTTACAGCAATGGACTCCTCTGCACCTGGCAGCCCTGAATGGTCACCATGAAACTGTATCAGTTTTACTGACAGCTGGTGCAGATGTAAACGCACTGGACGATGACGTAGGTACACTGATCGCTGTGATACAAGAAATATATTTGTGACATTTTATACGATTTGACATTCATTTCCTACATAGAATTTGCTGTTTAGAATATAACCAACACAAAACTATCACCAACACACAACAATATACAAATTGCATATTTGTCCGTTATGTTGCAATACTGACGACTTTTTGATGTGTTTTACAGCAAAACTCTCCCCTGCACCTGGCAGCCCAGAATGGTCACCATGAAACTGTATCAGTTTTAATGACAGCTGGTGCAGATGTGAACTCACGGGATGTTAACGTAGGAAGACTAACTATTGCGCTACAAGAAATATTTTAATGTCATTTTATACGATTTGACATTCATTTTCTATATACCATTTGCTGTTTAAAATATAACCAACACAAAAATATCACCAACACACAATAATATACTAATTGCATATTTGTCCGTTATATTGCAATACTGACGACTTTTGATGTGTTTTACAGGAAGACTCTCCCCTGCACCAGGCAGCCTGGAGTGGCCACCATGAAACTGTATCAGTTTTAATGACAGCTGGTGCAGATGTGAACGCACGGAACGAGCGGGTAGGTAGACTGATCGCTGAGAAACAAGAAATATTCCTGTACCATCTTGTAAGATTGGACATCATCTTCTCAATCTTCTTACTTAGTGGTTTATTTGCTGACTACAATTTGAATTGTTGCCAACATGAAGCTGGTACGGATTGGAACGCATGGGACTATACAGCATGTCATCAACTGTCGGAATATATCATACATTTTTTGGTGTCATAAAGCATGGGCTGCACATACATTATCATGCATATGGTGCTCTGTATATGTACAATTTGGGGCTATTTTCGTGCAACGCATGACATCGCAGCAAAACGCAACGAATGCGGAAGTCTCTACGCCATCGCATGGCAAAAAAAGCCAGTGGTCGATGACCTGATTAAGACACTAAATTGAGAAATATTGTGCAATAAATGTCAGAAGGATCTAAGTTGCAATGTTACGGTGATTGTCCATTATTAGAAACAAACAGTATGAATGGCAAAGGTAGGGAATGGTTTCAAGCGAGCTTGGAGTCAGTGAGTGATGTAGATATATACATTCATATTAAAGAGGTTGCTATTTGACCATACTAAGGATGAAAAATTACACTGTCAATGCCCCAACAGGAAGACACACCCCTCCATGACGCAGCTACAGGGGGCCAACCCAAGTGTGCGGAAATACTGCTGCAGCACGGGGCTGATGCCGGTCTCAGGAACAAGGTCAGTCGGTTCTTCGGCTTCTCTGGTAAATAACTGACTACCAATCCAGAAATACAATACTGGCTTTACTTCTTTTTGGAGAGAAACCAAAAGTAAGACTTTAAAAAAAAATGATCCACTTGAATACATACATTATAGTACGAGGCAAGAAGGAAGTTGTTGTAGGAATTAACACACAAATCACGATGTGTTCTGATATTCCTGCATCGCATCACATAAACACCTACAAACCAATTTATTTTTAAACATGGGCTTTTTTTGCTGCACCTACTGTATATGTTTTAGAATTCGAAGCTTAATACATATTGTATACTCATTCTGTCGTGTTTATTTCCGATATTCTAAAATTCACGAGCCTATTATTATATAATTGACAGCATATTTATTACCAGGATGGTCGAACGGCGGAGGACATCGCTGCAGATGAGGACACACGTGACGCTGAACCGGTCGACGAAGATGAGGAAGACCCAATTACTCGTAGAAGAAAGGAAATACTGAAGCTTCTCCGACAACAAAGTAATGTGAGTCGCTTTAAAACTTCCGTAATGCAAAATCAGAAAGCATTATATCTAAAGAATATGATTGAGATGACTGTAAATTTCTTGTCAAACACTTCTGTTCACCAACAACTACTGTTAATATTAAACTACAAGTTGAAGATGATATAAAGTTGTTTTTAGTTCCCCTGGTACGCGTGCTAGTGTATTTGAATTTTTGTATTCTGCTTGGCATGCTGAAGAGATATGCATTATGACTATAATCAGAATTGCGTAGAAACATTTAGCTACACGTAGTTGAAAGGCATGTGATATATCTATAGAGACATCATACGTGTATATATATGCATGCCTAATTTTAGCCTACTACGATGACCAGAAGTGTGTCAGAACAAAAGCACACTTACACTTGTTTGCGTTACAGGGAGTCCTCACACGTAAGAAGGAATACGATCCTGTACTCGTCCAGTACTATGAGGGAAGAGGAATGACAGAAGCGAAGAAGGATTGTCCGTTGATAAAAGAAGCAGCTAAGGAGAGCGGGAAAACAGTTGACCAAGTCATGGTATTACCAAACGTATTACACGTCTTACATCCCTATTGACAAGATAGCTCTCTAAGGTCGACTACTATAGTCAATATTATTATCATGGGTGATTTATGAAAATTGTTGTTCATTTCCATAACTCTACTTCCCCAATCCCCATATACTATTGGTGGCAATATTAAACAGGATATCTTACATCCAGTCCATCCCCTTTGTCTGTAGCACCCCCCCCCCCTTCACAAACGGTCTATCCTCAGACCAGGTCTGATAGAATCTTAAGTCAGGTTCCAGTGTCGAGACTAGGAGGGGACATCCTCTGATCTGGTTGTATCGAGTTATCACCAGGTCTGGTCAAACATGTCAAATATGATTTTCAGTGGTTCGATAGTGCCTGTTCCGCCATACCTGGACTTAAACTTTGACAACTATACCGTGTCTCATACAGAAATTATTGACAACAAAAAATGCAGCGACTTTCGTAAGGTAGTCATTTACATGTAGACATGCAGACAGATACGTGGGTACATCAAAATTGACCTACGTACAAGACAATAGATGAATCAATGTATTGTCCTTTCAGAACTTCATCGGTAACTACCGCAAGAGTCAAGGCGGCAGTAAGAGGAGACCGCCACCAGACACGATGGAGAGGAAGAGGAGGATCACGGGATATCACGAGTACTACAGGGAACAGCTGCCAAGGAAAAGGGGCGAGTTGAAACGGCAGTTATAATTGTTTACGAAAATGTTTAACTATGACAATTTTAGCAAGATTCAGTCGATCATTTTATTATCCTTTCGAATGCTTTAGTTGTAGTAAATAGAAAGGTAACATTTGTAAATGCAAATAGATATGGTTTACCTTCACATGGTCTCTCTCTATATATATATAATGCACATGGATATATAATAACCAGCCTCTCCAATCCTGCTACAAAATGTAACCGAACACCACATGGTGTCTGCTACCTCACTAGTTACCATGGTGACAGACGTCTGTTTCATGTCATTGACCTTATGTGTTTGGAGAAGAAAAAGACGAAACAGAGCAAAAACAATATGTGTTTCTCCTGCGAAGGTAAACATCATAATGCTTCATGTGTCAAATATTTATATCAACGAGGTTCAGATAATCATGCCAAGTTCACCCTAACGTATTTCACGTATTTCACTTACTGCATATTTTGTGACTGTCTTACAATAGCATACTGTAGGTACAGTCATTTTAGATACGGCGTTATCAT